GGGCGGGGCTCCAGGCCTCAGCTGCCCACCGGATGCTGAGCTCACGCAGCAACCCGACCAGAAGATCCCTGCTTCGTGTCTCAAGGACATGAGACTCCAGATTATTCTCTTAGCAAATAGACATGTGCTAGGTGCCAGGGAAGGGGAAGCCCACAGCCAGAGGTGGAGCCCAGAGTGGGGCTAGACCCTTGAGGACCCCAGGGGTGGCTCCATTCCCTCCCTGCGGCCTGAGGGGCCTGCACCCCTCCCCAGCCCAGACCAGGACCAGCCCCAGTTTGCCCAGAGGCAGGTGGGGGAGATATGTACCTCTTGAGCCACATGGACTGGCTGGAGCCCCTGCACTGTGAGTGGCTGCACTGGGCTGGCTTTGGGTGCCTGTGGAGTGGCCTGGACCACAGACCTCTGGGGAGGGAAAAGGGAATCAGACCACGGTAATGATGGTGGCAAACCCCTCCCTAGCACCCACCCCTGCCCACATGCACTCATGTAAGCCTGAGAGCAGCCTGGTAAGAAAGAGGCCACCTTCTCCAGCTTCATTACAACATTGACTCTGGGCAGTTACAGGTGTGGAACCCAGGCTCAGCAAGGCAAGGCTGAGGGGAAGTGACAGGGCTGAGTTGAACTAGGAACTGACAGGGAGTCCCTGCTCTCTACTTCCACTCCCTTCAGGCTTATCCCACACTTCCATGTCCAGGATTCCCAATGTCCTCATTTCCATGCTATGGCAGGGATTCAGGTATCACCTTCAGGGCACAGTGAGGGACAGACTGGGGGTGGGTAGGTGGGGGGTTGGTGAGTGGTAGAGCACAGATTCAAATCCAGATCTGGAGGTTCAGAGGGGCTGTGGTGTCAGACAGAACATCTGTTGAATCCTTTGGGGTACAGTTCTGCTTTCCTCTGGGGAGGGGATCTATGGCTTTTATCTGGTTTTCTGAGGGTTGGGAAAGCACCAATTTCAGTGGTAACAAACAGTTGACAGACAACCCTCACCTCTCACCTAACCTGCTCTGGGTGCCCTGGCTGGTGGCTCAGAGCACCACCTCCTCCAGAATGCTGGAAATAGATTTAGAGGCTAGGGCCTCTCCCTGAGTCTCTTAGGAGTGAGCCAGGACTTGGCCTTGGGGCTCCTCCAGGCAAATGGACCCAAAGAGGCCCAAGTTGTTTCTCAAAGCTTCCAGTGTCTGCTCAGTGTTAGGTGCCTCCCACAGGACCACATTTCATCCTCACAGCAGCTCCAACCACACTGACCCCAGGCCCCAGGGCAGAAGACATTATTTAGATGAGGATGCTGGATCTGGAGAGAGGCAGAAGCGCTTGCCAAAGGTCCAGGTGGCAGGACTCCCATCTGCCCAGCTCTCACAGCCCTAGGAGGCTGCAGAGGCCGCCTGGCCAGGAACCCTCGCCCCAGCTGCCGCCCGCCTTGGCCTGGCACCTCTTGGGTGACAGGGACACTCTGCTGGATGCCGTGGACCTGCAGCTGCTGTGGTACCGTGCCCGTGGGGGCCCCAGCCGTCTTGCTGGAGGAGCTGTTGGCCTGCACTGGCGACCGCTACAAGGAAAGAAGACACGGAGTGTTGCCTGGGGCATCCGGGCCCTGACAAAATGCTTCTCAGGAGGACTATCCTCAAGAGCTGTTGGGAAAGGCAACAGCCAGTGGGGGCATGTGCCAACCATCTAAGCTGTTAACGGGCTCCATTCTGTATACTCAAATGCCTAGTCCTGGCCACAAGCTGCAGTCACCACTGGGTAAGACTGGGGTTTCAGCCCAGAGGTGCTGGTAAGCAGACCCATCTTCCCCAGTGAGGATAGCTGGACTCCAGCCTCAGCTCAGGGGCCATCTGCAGCCCCAAGGTGAGGAAAGATAGGTAAGGGAATACCTAATTTCCAGATATGCTGAGGCACAGATGGCAATGAACATGCCCCAGAGCTACATAGCTATGAATGGTGGCACCAGGCACTGCCCCCAGGCCAGTTTGCTACAGAGCCCCTTTGAGCTCTGGGCCATGCTGGTATCATTAGCTATTTTATATGAAGAAAACTCTGGGCACAGAAGGCTCTGAAGGCCTTCCCAGAGTGCCCCAGGAGTGCCTCAGAGTGCCCTCTGAGCTGGAGGGTCTGAACTCAAGCTCCTAATGTGGACACCCATGCTCCAGCCCCAAGGCACACCTGCCTGCCTCCAACACTCTTGAAGATATTGAGGGTTCCTAGATTCCACCCTATGGTCTGAGGAAGAGCCTCTACCCACCCTATAGAGGGAAGGACTACTTTGCCTCCTACAATACATTCTTGAGCTGGAGGTGAGAGGCCCATCTCAACCTGCTATGGGGAAGGGAGCCAACTCCATCTCCTGAAGGTAGCAGGACCAGGAATGGGGCAGCCAAGCCACTCTGCCTGGGGTCAAAGAGGTATCAGAGATGGGAGTGGGGAGGACTGGAGGATTCTGGAGGAGCAAATGGGCTTGTGGGACAGACAGGAGCTCCAAGTATATTATGAGGGTACATAGCTAACCTGGGGAGAGAGGAGTGGGGAAGGTAGCTGACAGGGCCACCACCTACCTCAGGGGGTGAGTGCACCTGCTGGGTGCCGTGCACCGTCAGGGAGACCTGGCCTGCTTTGACACCTGGAGCTGTGCTCTGCACTACCAGCCGCTGCGTGGGGAGAGCCTAGAGCCCGGAGGGAGAAGGACCACAGTTCACTGAAGACAGTCTATACAGTTTAAACGACGATTAATGAGCAACTGTGCTGAGCCAGGCAACATCCTAGTACTGCATGCTTAGCTCACGGAACCTCCCAGACAGCACAGTCTCAGCATAGCAAATGTCCTTGCCTGAGGTCTTGGAGCCCATAAGCAACAGAGCCAGGGTTTATGTCAGGGAGCCTCACTCTTGAACCTGACAGGGCTGTCCTGGTCTGTGCTGAAGCAGGCACAACACCTGTAGCCTTCCAAGTGACAGAGCACAGAGCCCTTGCAGTCCCTGTGCTGGCTACAGGCTGTCAGCACCTAACTGGTCTTGGGTTCTCTGCTTGGGGATATCAGAATGGCCCTGCAAGCTACCTTCCTTATGGCCAATCCATAATTCTTTCTGTTAAGGTGACTTGTGTGGCTCCTCCTTCCCTGATGAGCCCTGACTGACACAGCCTCACTGGCTGGAAGCTGTGGGTGGGGCAGCCCTGTATGGGCTCATGTCCTGGATGCTGGTGAGGGCAGATCCCCGAAGGCTATCAAGGGTTGGTTCTGCACCCTGGGGAGGCCATGAAGGCCAGGGCCAGATGTGGCAAACTTACCTGCTGGGGCACAGGGATGTTGGTGAGCTGGAGGGGTGACATGTGACCTGGCTTGGCCTGCACACTCGTCTGGACCAGCAGCCGCTGTGGGGGCAAGAAGGCAGGCCATGAGCTGTGTTGATTTCCCCAGGAGGCCCAGTCCAGGTGGGTGGAGGGATAGCTGAAGTGAACATCTTGATAAGGACAGGTAAGCAGATGGCTTTGGCAGCAGATCAGGGAGGGAAGGCCAGGTACCCTCAGCCACAGCCCCTACAGCCTCCCTCACGTGCCCTCCCCACCTGCCCCTGGGAAGGAGTGCACCCTACCTGCTGGGTGCCTTGCACCTGCTGAACCACCTGGGTGGGGACTCCAGTCTGGCTGGCCGTGGAGCCTGGGCTAGCCTCCGACACAGTCTCGCTGGCCCGCATGGCACCTTCTGGGAGGAGGAATCACAGGGTCAGCTCTGTCTCTGCTCCCACCCTAAGCCTGAGCTCATCTGGATGGGATGATGCAGTGTGAGGCAGATCCATGATGGGACCAGGCCTCTGCAGGAGTACTGCCTGCCATCTGGCCTGCCCTGCCCATGCCCACAGGGGTGCAGGCCAGGAGGACCCTTAACTTCCAGAAGCAACCCCACCCCCACCTTCCTAATCCCAAAGCCAGACCAAAAGGGGTGACTAGACAGCCATGATACAGTGGAGGCCCAGAGGACTAGACCCCCTTTTCCCAACAGACAGGACTTGTAGACAGGCAGTGACTGGCCTACTACCTCGGTAGCTCTGGAAGAACAAAAGTGCTGGAGCCACCTACGCTGAGATGACCTCTGGCTTCCCAGGAACCGCGGTGATTAGAGGAGTGGCCCCAGAACCTTTATAGCCAATGGCTGACAGCCCCCTCCCTCTTCACTGTCCCAGCCTTTCTGTCCTCATTGGGGTGGGAGCAGGCTCGTACTCACGCTGAAGGGCAGCCGAGAAGAGGCAGTCATAGAACATGGTGCCCACCTCACTGTCCATCCCCCCACCTCCTGTGTCCAGGGGAGCCTGCCCTGTGCTTCTCACTCCTGGCCCATCTCTTCAGGAACAGCAGGGCACAAAGGCGGGTTTATACCTACAACCTTGGAGAGCTAATCCCCCCAGTAGATGCAGAGCTCCCAGCTGCCCTCTTGGAATAAACACTCCCCTCCCAGCAGGCGTGGCTAAACAGGGCCTTTTAGGGGCTGGGACTGGGACTGCACTGCAGGGTCAGGAGGGAGGCTGGTACCCAGAGATGCTATGAGACAGGTGCAGGTAGAGTTTCATGAACATCTCACTGAGTGATTAACAAGGGCTGGGGGGTGAGGATGTGAAGGGTGAGTGTTCCTGAAAGATGCGAGTTCAGAGAAACTCACCCCAGCCAGGAAACCACTTTTCCTGCCCCTTTGTGTGGCCTGATTTGCTCCCAGCAGTTCCAGAGGTTGGGGTGGGGCTGGGAGTACACATGTGCCTGCTCTCTAGTGTGCTCCCACAAGCAGCTAGGGTCCCAGCTCCACTTCCTGGGTCCCCTAGCAAGATTGCGGGGTGGTAGACAAGGAGGGCTAGGATTATCTATAGTGCTTCTGGTGCCCCAGGAGATGCACTAGGGTCTTCCTAGATAGCTGGAGATGGAAAGAACGTTATTACCCCTGATCTCAGATACAGCTACAGAGACTGGAAGAAAGGAAGTAACTTGCCCAAGGTCATTCTGCTGGGAACAGGCAGGCCAGGACACAGGCCCATATCTGTGCCTACATGAACACACCATGCATGGAACCTAGAGTCACAGGTCATGCCTGGGCTGAGGCCCCAAGGGTAGTGGTGTGCAGACTCAGGCTTGTGGGTACAGGGGCCTATGGGGACAACACAAGGTTCAGAGCATCCCAGGGTGGGGCTCAGCCTCCAAAGGAAGGAGCTGGGCCTCAGCCATGTGGGAATACCAGGAAAAAGGCCTAGCCAGGGCAAAAGGGCTGTCCCAGGTAGATGCAAATACCTCAGGGACCAAGTCTGGAGCAGAGCACGTGAATGTGTGTGTGTTAGGTAGTGGGGAGTAGTGGCCAGATGCGGGAGGAAGTGTTGGGGGAAGCCTCCCATTGGCCACATGTGGGGCAGTAGTTAGGATAACCCCAGGCATACTCAGCCAGCTGCTTCTGCAGCCAGTTCCAGAAAGCACAGATTCCTGTTTTGCTGGAATCTTCCCTTGCATCCACATAGGCTTCCCTGAGCCATGAGGGAGAAGGCCCTTACTGAGACAGCCCCCTGGAAGAAACCTGAGAAAACCCTGAGTCACATGAGGAGCCTAGCACACCTGGGTGTCTGTGGGACACAGGGAGCCAGCCCCAGGCCAAGAGATGACACCAACCGAGGTGGCCCATGGCAGGTTTGGCCTCGCGCAGGGTGGGCAGTGGGGGTGGGCTGGCCCCAGACACCTCCTAGGCCCAGGGCTCTGATGAAAAAGGCCAAAGCTGATCCTTGAGCGGGACCCTCAGAAGATCAGACATCTGCCTGGGACAACTGTCTTGCCCATCTTCTGCCCTGGGGTGGCCCCCAAGGCTGGGACATCCCCTCCCATGTCTGCCAGGCCAGTAAGGCAGGCTGGGCTGCAGGAAGATGAGCAGGTAAGGTTTCAGAGTCTATTCCTCAGGTGAGGGGCTTCCTGTGCGCCCTGTGTGCCTGTGTCTTGCCCAAGATGTGTGTGTGGGAGTGGGGAACGTGGAGTCTGAGAGCGTCTGCATCTGTCTGTCTGCCATCTCCATTCTAGGATGTGCATGAGATCAGGGAGGGCCCCACTGTCTCAAGTCTCTAGTCAGGAAGTGGCAGCTGATTTCCTGTCCCTCAATATGATGAGTGTTTCATCTTCCCTGGGCCCTACACTTCCCCTTCAAGACCTATTCATACCTCAAATGTCACGAGCTACTTGGGGGAAGCTGAGAGAGGCTCATTCTCCATGGACCATAGATTGGGCAGTCTGGCCCTCTCCCTACTAATCCTTTGCTACCAGGGATGGTTTCAGTCAGGGGATCTTGGGGGGCGGGGGGAGAACCTCTGGGTCTCTGCTGCCCCCATGATCTTGGGTCCCTTTTCTGTCCTGACTTCAGTTTCCCCATCTGTGGGGAAACCATGCATCCCTACCCTCCATGTCCCTCTCTCAAACACAAGTCTTTTGGACTCCCAAGGAGTCCAAGTGAGAGAGAAGCAGGGAAGAGAGGCTAGAAATGGTCCCCCTTCAGCCTAGCCCCATCCCTGGTGGGCAGGCAGGCTTGGTTTCACTGTCCTGGGGACACTGCCAGGACCCATACAGCCCTCCTCCCACCTTGAGTTTCTGGCGAAGAGTCTGGTGGTTCTGAAGATGGGATTCATGGATCTAGAGGATTGTTTCTGAGCAGGGAAACTTGAGCTGCTTTCCCATCACCTCCAAAGTCACCTTAGGGCAGAGCCCACAAGGAGAGAGCTGGATGACCTATCTTCTAGTGCTACCTTGGCTAGCTGCCAGCCTGGGCTCCAAGTCTAGATCCAGGCCCTTCCCTGCCCCCTCCCTGAGACTCCCTGGGTCCCTGGTCAGCTCAGATTGCTTCTGGCCCTGGAGGAGCCCCAGGTACCTTCTGCATTTGCTGGTGTCACTTATCTCCCCCCCTCCGCCCCAGAACTGGCTCACATGGCCCAAAGGCCACCCATAGATACAAAGAGACACTAACATAGGAGAGGGTCACAGAGGGCCCCCCTAGGAAATCCCTGCAAGGGAATAGAGAAGGGGTCGACAGAGCAGCAAGTACAGTTGCAGGGCAGCAGTCAACCTCCCATTCCTCAAAACACATCTAGGAAGCATCGCCCAGTCACCCTTCTGGGGACAGGCTCACTCCTGCCAGTGTCAGGAGCAGAGGGAAAAAGAAATCTCCCAGGACCACTGTAGAAGATGATTAAGCCACCACCAGAGAAGGGATCCCAAGAGTCATGCCAATAGCTCAGAGCACCCTGTAGCATGGTGGGGGGACTGGAGGTAGAGGAATGAAGGCCACCTCCCCAGGCCCCACAGCTAGCAAGAGTCCTGCCGAGACCCAAAAGACCACGCATAACCTTGACCTCTAAGCACAGGGCCTCCCTGGGGTAGTGTCAGAAGGAGCTAGAGGAGCAAAAGGAAAGAGAAGAGGTGGGCTTGGATTTGGGGAGTTCTGGGGCCCAGAGTTGTGTGCCCATTCTAGACCCTTACTCTAAAGACCCTGGACCAGAAGGTAGCTAAAGCCAGCACCCACGAGCTCCAGGGCCAATCAATGCCCTAGAACTGGGCAAAGCCCTCCAGCTGTGCCAGACAAGGCCTCCACCTGCTCTTGGTGGCCCAGAGTCTGACTGATTGTGAGGGCTGCACTGGGTCAGGCCAACATTCATGTGGGCGTTCACCAGTCATTCCACAAAGATTCAGTAGACAGAGCCCCACCCTCATGGATAATGGAGGTGGACGTCGTCATTGTCATCACTTCAGGTGGTGATGAGTGTTAAGAAGAAAAATAAGCAAAGTAAGAAGACAAGGAATGAGAGTGAGAGTGAGGTGTTGTGGGCGTCAGGGAGGTAGCATCTGAGGAGACTGGAAAAACACGAGGGATGAAACTCCAGAAGGTCTAGGATGGGAGTGCTGCAGGCAGAGGGCACCAAGAGTGCAAAGGCCCTGAGGCTGGACCAAGCCTGTTGGGTTTGTAGAGCCGCAGGAAGGACAGTGAGGTTGGAGCAGGGGGTTGAGGGCACAGGAGGTTGGGTGTTCAGCAGCAGGGGCACAGCGAGTGGGGAGAGTTTAAAGCCCTTTCCTATGGGAGGGGCCACAAGGGAGTAGATGTCCTAGGGCCCAGAAAGCCCAGGCCAGAGTTTCTCAGAAAATGCCCTAGAGCCACCTGCCTTGGAATCAGCTGGGTTGAGCTGGGATGTTAAGGGACCTATGACAGTTGTCAACAGGCTCCCTAGCTGCCGTAGGGGGAAACTGTGAAGAGTGAGAACCGAGGCTGGGCCATGGTGGGGGCCATGGAGGCAGGAGAGATGGCTGAATTTAGGAGGTGGAGCCAAGAGGCCTTGTTTGCTTGAGGATGGGTAAGACAGGGGCCAAGGCTGACCTGGGCCTGGGGGTGGTACTTATGAGGATGAGGAAGCCTCAAAGGAAGGTGGACTTGAATTGGGAGCAATCCAGAGTTCCATTTGGCCGTGGTGGCTTGAGAGGCCTGTTCAACAGAGTGGATGGTCACAGGAGGCTGGGCATAGGATCCTGGGTTTTAGGGCTGCAGTCCAGGATGCAGACCTCATTGTGGGTATCGTCAGCATAGAGGTGGCATTAAAAGCAGAGACACTGGACAAGGCCACCATGAAGGATGAGTCACTGGAGTGAAGAGGAGGCTCTAGGTCTGATGAGGTCATTACTGATGAGGTCAGAGAGAGGAGGAAGCAGCAAAGGGGGACAGAGAAGGAGGGGCAGGGAGGTGGGTGGAGACCAGGGCAGGAAGGTATCTCTGGGAGGACAGTGACCCCAACTGGGAGGAAAGGTGTGAGTGGCTGAGGAGAGAGCTTGGGATAAGGAAGAAAGGACATTCCTTTGAGGAATTCTGACTTAAAGGGAAGAGAAGACACTGATGGCAGCTGGAGGGGGTGCAGGGCCTGGGGGGGGTCCTGGTTAAAATGGGAGCTGTTTCATCTTTGTGGCCAGGTGAGAAAGAATGTAAGATAGGGATCGAGGGATGAGGCCGGGATGGCAAGAGCAAGCCCTGGAGGGGGTGGGCTGGGACAGGTGAATCTGGTGGGTGCAGATGGATCCTGAGAGCTGGCAGGCTGGATGGGGGGGGATAATGGGGGTCTTTATCACATAATGACAGCCTGTTCCCAGTGAGGTCAGCAGCAGGTTCAGGGGTTAAGAACACAGAGAGGGAGGTGATAGAGGTGAGGGGGGGAAAGGGAAGTGGGTTTCTCAGACAGCGGGGGGTATGCTAGTGAGAAGATGTAGCAGGATCTCTGGGCAAGGCTGAGAACCCACCAGAGATGTGTGGCCTGGGAACCCTGGCCATACCCATGGCCTGGCCTCAACCCAGTGTGCTTGACATGGCTCTCACACACCATCCCTCCACACCATCTGTGTGACAAAGTGTCACTGCTCTGAGCTTTTGCGTGCCCCCACCCCTTAGCTCTCTCTGGGGACCCTGACAGTGCCAGGAGTCTCCAGGATGCTGCCCCTATGCCGGCTACATCTGCCCATGTCCCACAGGGCCATGTCAATTGCCACATATTTAACTAACACCTATGGTCCTAAACTCAGTCTTGACCTGTCCCTTCCACAGCCCTCTAGGAAGCATTGTGACCTTCCTGCCACTTCCTTTTTCACTCCAAAAGGACTGGGCCAGCCTCAACTGAGGGTTTTGCTGCATCCTCCCCCCTCCTCACAGCACGCTGGAAACCAATAACACCACTCAGTCCTACACTCTCCCTCAGGGTAGTGACTGCCTGTCGGAACCCTCTGCTCCAGGTTCCCTCTGCCCAGCCTAGCCGTCCTCGGAGGAACTGGGGCATGGGTTAGGTGCTTTAGGCAGGAACCACGGGCACCATGACCCAAGTTTCCTGGTCATTTGCTCCATGGCTGTAAGGGGTGGTCACAGTGAGAAACAGGAACCCTTGGCTACATACTCTTGAACTTGTCCAGCCAAGAGCCCCATTTAGCCCAAGTCCTGCCAAAAATGAAACGGGAGGGGAGGGAAGGTGATGCCTTCAGGCCCTCCAGCCAATCTCCCTGAAGTGCCTTCATGAGCACCTCACACACATCCCCTGAGCACATGAAACCATTAGGATTCCTTTCTGGATGAGGAAACTGAGGCACGGTAGCCAAGCAGCTGGTGAGCAGTGAGGTCAGGACTACTGAGCAGTGGCCATGTGCTCGCCCTCCTCTCCAGATGTTTATGAACTTTAAACCTTAACTTCACTGCCCAATCCTTTCTTCAAGTGATAGCTTACTTGGGGATAGACAGAAACATCTCTAAAAGCTGCCCTGGTGGGGAGGAATTGGGGGTATAGAGGCCTTCCTGTTTGTCCTGAAAACTCTATCCCCAGAGATGCTCCTCAAGTCCCACCTGGGAATCTTGGAGAGTTTGAAAGCTGCCATCCTGGTGACAGGCACAGTAAGTGACAGCTCTCACTACCAAAATGCTCCTAAAAGCTCCTCTTGGAGTTGTTCAAAGAGCGCCCTGGCCCCACACACAGGTCCACTTACCGGAGACGGTGACCACGATGTACTGCTGGGACACGGAGGACGGGGCAGGTGTGCCAGCCGGCTGTGAGGGCGTGGGAGTAGCCGGGAGCTCCGTCACATACTGCTTCTGGCTGCCCGGTGGCTGCGCCTGGGGCTGGGGGCTCTGCAGCTCGGTGACGTACTGGGGCTGGGGGGTAGCGGTGGTAGCAGGTGGCTGGGGGGGCTGAGGTGCCGCTGATGGTGGTGGTGGTGGTGGTGGTGGCTGGGGCTGGGCCTGTGGCTGGGCCTGTGGCGGCTGGGAGGGTTGCGGGGCTGCCTGTAGCTCAGTAACGTACGCCTGTGTTGCCATGCCAACAGTGGGGAAAATGATAATAAATAAGGCTTTTTTTTTTCTTCCTTGGGAAGAAGAAGGGGAGGGGGGAAGAGGAAAAAAGAAACAACAAAAGAAGGAAAAACAAAAATTAATCTACAGGCAGAGGAAGCCAGGGACAGCTCCTGGCTCCCTAGAGACACATTTGGGTTTATCACTAACTTAATTAAATCCTGAGGCTGGTGGCCAAATATAACCAACCCATCACTACAGGGGCACTGAGTATGGACCAAGGCTGGTCTGCACCTCTTCCACTCACCCCTGCCCAGGACTCCTGACTTCTTCTGTCCCAGCCCCTGGTGCCTGGGGGACTCCTGTGCCGGGGGGCAGAGGGGCAAGCGACTCAGTCGGGCTCTCACCCAGGGACAAATGGTACAGTTCTCCGAAGGTTCCTACAGGCTGGGCATTGTACTTTACATTATTTCATTTTAAACTGTGTAACAATCACATCTGGGTTTGGGTTTAGTCTGCCACATGATGAGCTGAGGCTCAGAGAGGTTGAGGAGCTTGCCCCAGGTCACAGAGCAGGGAAGCAGCAAGGCTGAGTAGGAACCCTGGGTGCTCTGAGCACTTGATTAATCAGCTAATTGCTGGAAAGGAAAATCTTGGGAAAAGTTGTCTGCCAGCCAGCCCGTGCTAGCTCCCTATATATCCCCTATCTGGGCTTGGATTCTTGGCTGAGTATGATTCCCAGTGGGATGCCAGAAAGGTGTTTGAGTCCAAACCTCTCCTCTAAAAGGCTTATGGCCACAGACACTTCCAGGCCTTTGCCTGGGGGCAGTTATAGGTGAACACCCCAGATGTGAGCTTATCATGGGGAGAGTGCCCTTCTGGGGCTACAGGGCAGGCCCAGCAGCCACTGCTGCTTCTGAGGCCCATCTGACCAGGCAGAGACAGCCTTTCTGGTTGCTAAATGATCATGGTCCCTCTCCTAGGTGCTGGGCTATGCAAGGTGTCCCTCTTGCTAGGCCCTGGCTCAGCAGGGGATGCACTGATAGTTCCCCC